CTAGACCATATGTCAGGAAGATTGTGAATGTGGAGGAGATACATACACTGCCACTTCTCAAATCCCCAGAGCCTTTCAGAAAAGGGGAGTAGAGTAGGATTACTTTTTAAAAGAGATGTATATAAGGAAAATAATCATATTGCTGTTCTTTAAAAGACAACTGCATGGTACTTTGTTGATTGTTATGACTGGTACACTCTGGCCCAGCCAAAGCTATAATTATTTTCTAAAAGGTATCAAGTTTTGACGAGTGTATAGTGACAAGAGGGAGCAGCTACTGGGAATGGTGAACTATCCTGCAATGCTATTGTTTCCATATGTATCAAACCCTGATTGCTCCTAGCTATAGAGGGTCCATCTGGCTTCCCACCTACAGCTGCCTGAGCAGTGCCTCAAGTATGTCCTTATTAGGAACATTTCAAAACCCTTTAGTTTAGTCTTTCCCTAAGGTTCCCTTGCATATATTTCAAGTGAATGTTGTATCCCAGACTAACTGTAGTAATAATGTAATACACTTCCATGAGTGCTGATTTGCCTTTGCAATATTTCTTCTCCGATTTATTTAATTGTCTTGTATTTATACATTAAAATCGCCAAAATAAATTTGCAATTAAGTCCTTTGAGAACTTTCACAAACAGAAAACGTTTGAGATCTCTTTCCCTGGCGGCATGGCATGGAAGCGGTTGGACGGGTCTGATTAAGACGAACACACGGTAACATCTTTTGGCAAACAGCAGGCACACTGTGACTGTGAAGTTAGAGCAAGGATTGTTCTGCCTCACGAGATCAGTTGCTGAGGTTTCTTTTTCATTTTTCCCTTACTCTTTCAAGATTATCTCTTTAACACATGTTGCCGTTGGCCCACACAAGCCCCAGATTTGGATCCCCTCCAAGTGTCTGCTTCCTCAGCATCAAACAGAATTTCAAGAAGGTGAGGACAGGATTTGGGGTTTCTGGGGAGCACAGGAAAGCCACAAACATGGAAGCTGGCCTCAACTCCACAAGAGTTCTCTGAGCAATCTCTCCTTCCCCGATGCTCAGCTGCCTCAAAGATGTTGAGTACTAAATTGATGAGGAAAGTGGTGAGATAGTCTAGATTTGGGAGGCAAGATCTCAGAAACCAAATCTCCTGAAGCAGATTATGTAACCAAAGTGTACACACAAAAGGATGCACAATGTCCTATGTCTTTTAGATCCCGCCCCCTCCCTTATTTTCTTATTGTCTTGTGTGTCTGGGCTGCAGTCCTTAAGCCAAATTCTCTTGTCTACTTTTTTACTTCAGACAGCGAAGGGCAGGGCAGAGAGAATGTTCCTGAGAAGCATCCTCCTTTGGGTTTAAAATTGTTCCCACAATCTAAGATTCTACTGAAGGAGACAGAAGTGGTGCCAATATGAGGAGGCAAGGAGTGTCACAGCAGTGGCCAGTATTTGAAGAAGTATTTCCTCAGAACATTCGAGAAGTTTTTTCCCAAAACACACTGCAATCAGTAGTGTTTGCATAACTTCAATGAGCAGCATCATGATTGTTCTCAGCAAAAATGGTGAAATGGCTTCATTTGGGATACTGGGTTGTGTCTGACGAGGTCACTTAGGAGACAGGTGAGTTTGTTGAAGGCCATTTCGATGAAGAACTAATTTAGTGAATGAGCAATTTACCAAATGGACTAGTGTGTTGTCATTTTGTCTCCATAACAGCATTTTAAGGACTATTTAGTTTGTCTCTGCCTCAGCTGCTTGCTGCTGCGGTTGGAGGCTGAGGACAGGAAAAGGAAAGACTGAGTGGACTTAAGAACATGGATGGGAATAATTCTTATCAGTATATTCTTTTTTCTTTTCACCTCAGCCTCTAGGTACAACATCAAAAAGTTGAGGCAGACAAAAATTGAATACCCTCTTCCAGAATATATTCTTTTAAATATATTTATAAATATATTCTTCACTATGAAGAAATCTTATGCTCCCTGGTGTTTCCTCTCTTTACTGCTCAGTTTCCAACTAGCTACAGGAAGCTGAAACAGAGGCAAATTCAACATTCTTTAAAATATTGTGATGAAAAACAAAATGATTTCCAGTTAACTAAAATTAAATTGCCATAGAAGTAACTAAATTTGGCAAATTGGCTATTTTCAGCTAATTGATTCAGAATGGACCCTCTCCTCTATGTCAAAGATGGAGTGCTTTTCTTTAGAGTCAAAGACCTGAATCCTCCAGGACAAACATTTGTTGGTTTCCACTTTGGACAGTGACATGTGGCTCTCTGGGAACTTCCTTGGCAGAAGCCCCTGTGGCAGAACAATGAGCAGACCCTCTGGCTGGGGTCAGAAGGGTCATACAAGGTATCACTCTAGGGTCCAGTTTTGGGTTTTCATCCTTATGAAGATCATGAATCAGCTTCAGAAACAACAACATACCCCATCACATTCCATATCTGATTCCTCACAAATGTTTGAGAAATGACTTGGAGACAGGTTTATATTGGGTCACAACCAGAGAAAGGCTTCATGCATCTGGGAACGAAGATATAGAGGTTTTGTATTTCAGGGACATAGGATACTAAGATACGAGTCTGGTTTTTATATAGCACAGCTTCTAGTCCAAAATGAATCACTAAAGTTCACTTGGAAATTTAAAAGCTAAAAAGTAGCTTTCCTTCTTGGTTTTATCTGAATTTCAAGCTTATTGAAAACTGTAGCTTATACGATAATATGTATTAAAGCATAGATCAAAGCCTAAGAATGTAGGCTGGCTACACACCGAAAGGGGTGCATGTTTGTATAGCAGAATTTACGAAGAATGAGATAAGAAACTGAAAATGTTTCTATACTGGATGGAAATGCCAGGTAATGAGCAAAGGTCATCAGTTATTTCCCCCATGGCTGCAAAATGGACTCTTGAAGAAGCATTCAGTGTGAACAAAAGCAGTAATGAAAAGAAGCAATGATCCCAGCTTTTAGATGCAGAAGAATGCATGAGAGTTCTCGTAAGAGTACACAGTCAGATTCCAAAAGAGCTTTAATGGTGATAACAATGTCTCGTTTTATTTACCTCCAGACCATAGCAAATTCTGCATGGAAGCACATCACATGGATTGCTGCATAATTTAAGAGCCAAATAGTATGTGAGATAATGAGGGGTTTGGTGCTGTAGTTGAGCGACAGAGATTTATGTTATGAAATTTCTAAAATGAACTTAATTAAGGACTGTACATAGGGGACCCAGCTGAGCAGGACTAATTTTCTTTCTTTCAACACTAATTGAGCTACAACTACGTGCTCAACACTGTACCAGGCATGGTAGGAGATAGCAAAGACTGTTTCAGTGAATACTTACAATCCACTTAGAAAAACATACTTCACATGAAAACAAAAATAACAATATGAGGCAATATGTTAGTGTCAAATGATGATGAAAACAGCTATGATTTATGAAGTACTTTTCTATAAGTCAGGCATGGTGCTAAGGGCTTTATATTCATCCTCTTGATCAGAGTCACCCTAGGAGGTAGGTGCTATTATTATCCCCATTTTACAGATGAGAATATTGAATTTCAAACAACTAAAACAGCATACTGAAGTCCACACTGCTGTGTAAATGGCAGAACTGGAATTTGAACTCACTTTGAACTGACTCCAAGATCTAAGTTCTTACTAAAGAAATTGTTATGGGAATTCAGAGAATGGGGAGGCAGGAGGTGAGCTAGCCCTTAAAGAAAAGATAGGCTTGAGAAAGGCAAGGAGGAGAAGGGCTCACGTTGTCAAGCGTACAGTAAACGCATGGAGACTAGCAAAGAAGCTTGTGCAAATGATTACATTGGCCAAGGTGTCCAGGAGAATTCATATAGGGCCAGATTTTGGTGGAAAATGAATACTGGGCCGAAGATTGTGAACTGTAGGTAATTTGCGGCCATGAGCAACTGTAATGCCAACTTGCAAGTTGTAGGCCTGTAGGAGATGGACTGCAGGCCTGGTGAGCGGCGCCCAGGTGATTAGGGGCGAGGCTGCAGGCGCCGGGGGCAGCTGGGGGACCCTGCCCCGGTCGCCCCCTTTCCCTTCCCGGCTGTGCCCCGCTACTCGGCTTCCGCTCGGCAGCGGAGACGCGGCCCGCGGAGGGGCGCCCAAGCGGCTGCAGTGGGAGGCCCTATTTCTCCCGCCTCTGGTGAGCTTGGCTACCCTGCCCCGGGGCCTTCTCCGGGCCGCTGGATGAGGCAGCCTCATCCCCTGCTCGGAGGGCTCGGATCCGCTGCGGGGGCGTATCTGGGGGCGGGGCCAGGGACCTGACTGTGAGCTCATCGCAGGGCGGGGCCGCAAGCGACGCACGGTGTCAGGAGCATTCCGGGTCCCTAGAGGAGCGGTCCCCTTACCTTCCTCCTCAGGCCCGCTCCGCGGGTTCCGCTCCGCGCCAGGGGCGGAGCCGGAGGCGGGCCCAGGGGCGGGGCCGAGGGCGGGTCCAGGGCGTCCAGGTGGCCGCCGCGGAAGGGCCTGTTTCTCCAGCTTCCACTTGGGGTGAACGGCCGGCGGGGAGGTAAAGGGCTCAGGGATGCAAACTAGTTCCCGTCCGGAGTCAAGCTCTCTGCTGCTTCCGCGGGCCACCCCTTTTTTCTTCCCCCTCAGGCGGGGCCTCGGAGTGTTCCGTTCCGCGCCGGGGGCGGGGCGGGGCTGCGTGGGCCGGGGCCGGCGGGTGGGATAGGCTTGGCAGCCCGCCCGGGGGCCTCCGCCGGACCGCCTGAAGACAAAAAAGTCTCGGCTGGGGCATCGGCGCCCCACTCCCAGAACCCGGTTCCCCTCTTCTCCCGCGGGGCCGTGTGGGACCCGCGAACGTCGGGAGCGCTGCGGGCCTGGTCCAGGCGGGGCCGCCGTAGCGCTAGCCCCTGTGGCCGCCCCCGCGCCTTCTAGCTGTGCGAAAACGCTGGTTGGCTTGCTTTCCAATCGAACTTTGGTTCTATCATTTTAAAAAGTTCCGACCTCCTACTGTCGAGTTCCATCCCGAAAACCGACTGAGGCTCTAACTATTTGGGAACCAGGCCGTCTTGGCGGCTGCAGCCCTGGTGTCCCACCTCCGCGCAGCAGGTCGGGCGCCGCGGCCCCGGGAGCCTCGCGGAGATGAGGAGCAGAAGCAATTCCGGGGTTCGCTTGGACGGATACGCGCGGCTGGTGCAGCAGACCATTCTGTGCTATCAGGTAAGGAGGGGCCACCCCGCGCTAATCTCTCGTGGCACATTCTCTACCCAGTCCCCTTTCGTGTCCTGAGACTGCAGTTCAGGGGTTTCCTCTTTAAATCCAGTCCTTGCTGGCCGGTAGTTACCCCCACCCCGTCCTCTTTACGAGTCAGGAGACCGAAGGGCTGTGCGGCTCCTCTTTGCCGAATTCTTTGACCACTGTTTGGGACCGAAGACAGAAAGAGCTCCCTGGGTGCCCTAGTACAAAATGCGTCTTTTTGCATTGCCTCTGCTTCTTTCGGGTGAGGGAGGAGGTGTGTGTAGGTTGGACAGAGCGCACTGAATGATGATGGTGAACTCTGGACTGCGAGGGCAGTAGACAAGCGCAAAGAAGCTCCTGAGGTTTGCATCCCACTCTGGAGTGTTAAGCGACTGCTGCCGCCCATCCCATGAGTTACCTTGTTAGGAGACCCACCTGCGAGGGTCGTAGGGCTTACCCTAGTTGCTATTTTACACTTGAGAAAACTGCAGGCCAAAAGGGTTACTGCATGTAGTAGGGAGACCCAAATGCACGTCTTCTACTTCCAAGTTCAAGGGCACCTGTGAGGCTGCCCATGTGGTCTGTGGTGTGAATATGCCTGCTGTTTTGTATTACTGGGCTAATGGCCCATCATGTAAGACCACTGGACTATTTTTATTCCTATTGAAGACAGCATCTATGTTGCTTGCCCTCAATCAACAGCAACTATTTATAGGACCTCCGTGTCGGAGAAGGAAGTAGCATTCCATGGTTAGAGGCCCGGCATGCAAGTTGGGAGCAATGGTTACTCCCAAGCCACTGAGCATTTTCCCTACTTAGCCAGTTTCTCAGCTTAGTTTCCTCGTTCGGGAAATATTTATTGTGTACCTATTATATGCAAGGCACTCTGTCAGATGCTGGGCTTACAAAGAAGAACAAGTGCTTGTAATGCAGAGAAATTTATGCGTAAGGTATAGGTCCAGAGTCCCTTGTCTGAAACCCTTGGGGCCAGATGTGGTTTGCAAGTCAGAAATGTCCAAATTTTAGAAAGGTAATATACATATATTATATATTCTATAATAACTTCAGTGGGCAGCACCCCTTAATCAAACACATTATTATTCCCACGTCAGAATGTGACTGTTCACACTGAGTAGGAAAAGTAAAGGACAGCAAGTAGTTTCACATCAGTTCACGTTATCTTTTGCCACTGAACGAGCTTGCTGCAAACACTTTAAATTTTCAGAGCTTATTGGCTTTTTGGCTTATTGGCTTTTGAAATGGGCACAAAGGATTATGGTCCTTATTTGGGGAGTTTAGCCCAGTTTGGGGAGCAGAGGAGGAGCCCTGGAAGAGATGATGTTCCAGAATGAGAACTGAAGAACGAGTAGGCAGGCAAATGGAGGTTATTTTTTGCCTTCCTCTTTGGAATATATTATAATTACATCTACAAAGTGTTTTAAAATCCGAGTTGAGAGGCCTTTCTCTTCATTACTGTGGTGGAAGGGGCTGTATGGAGCTTGCTTCTTGTGTCACACCTGGGGTTGAACCCCTAGCTCTGCCTTGAATGACATATGTAATCTTTACTCAACCTCTGAGTCCAAGCCCTCATCTGTAAAATGGGGATAATAACACCTGTCTCCACTGAGATATTGTGAAGAAAAAGTTATTGCCCTGTATGTTGCCTGGGACCCAGTAGGCAATCAGTAAATAGTGAATGCTATAGGTGGTGTTATGACTCTGATTTAGGCCACACATTGCCAGGCCACACGTCCTTGCCTCACCACCCTGGGCCATCACGCTCCCTTTCCTGAATGCCCTGATACAGCTACTAATTGCTTTCTGATCTTTGAACATAATTATGTCTCCCCATTGATGCGGTGCGATCCTTAAGCACAGAGACCTCACCAGTTTGTTCCTTTTGTATCAAGCAGTGCTCCAGGCACATGAGAGGTCCCCTTAAGGCCTTGTTGATAAAATACTTCCTGTAGGCTCTCAGCCATCCTAATGACCCAGCTATTGATCCAGGCTTGTCTTCCCTCAGGAGCAAAAGAACTGTTTTCTCATCAAAGCAAATCCGCAGCGTTGGACTTTCCTCTCCAACATTTTAATGATTAAAGAAAAGTTGTCTGAGCCTTTAGTTGTATTTAATTTGGGGGTAGTTGGTGAGAAGTCCCTATGTTTGCCCTCTTTTCTCGTGCTGGCTGCATCATCAAACTCTTTTGGCTAACCGAAATCCTCCAAGTGCCTTCTGCTGGGAACTCCCATGAGCCTGCACGTGCAGAGTTGCACTCCTTCCTACCTTCTGCCTCGCACCCATCCCGCCCCAGCAGCTCGTCTTCACAGTCGTAGAGCCCTAACCCATTTAGGGCCTCGTCATCTTTTCTGAGTGATCCTAGGCAGGTCACCTACCCACTTTAAAAATGAATGAGCAATTTTATGTTATGCATATTTTACCACAATAAAAAAATGAGCTGGACTAGTGATTTCTAAAGTTGGTGCTGTATCTCCCCATCTCCTGTAGATATGTGCAGATGTTTATGAGGCATTTTTCGGTGTCAGCTGTTACAAGCTCTGAACTCAGTTTCTCATTTGCTTTTTAAATGAAGATCAACTTACACTGATTTCACTTCTTAGAAATCATTCAGTGTTTAATATGTCAAACTCAATCATTCTGTTAGATCCAGTAGTTTGTTCATTGTAGCTAGCGTGTCAACTAATTCTTTTTTCTGCATCTGTGAAAGAGAAGTACTTTCTCCATTAGTCATTTTCCAAATATACTTGCTACTAAATATTATTTGAATCTTTAAGACACTAAAGGAAAGAGATATGTTTATAAAAGGGTCTTTTTGCAGGTTTGGTTTTGTAAATAGAGAGAGTATAAATATACAATCTAGGGAGTTTCTTCAAATATTTATTAACTTAAAAAACAAAAGAAACTCCTAAATTTATTTTGGCCCCAATACTAACTTCATATGTTTCTTCAATATCAGCTCTGTTGGAAGGCTCATTAATAAAAATGTTAAGTACGAAGTGGTGATAAGAGCATATGGATCAGAAAGAAAAATAATGATCAAGGGAGTGTTCACTGTAACTAAAGAATATTTCGTATAAAAAGCAGACAATTAAGAGACCAGGACAGTAACTAAAAATTGCTGTTTAGTGGCAATGGAGTTTAAAATGAGAAGAATAGGGTAACTAAAACATGGAGTATGGAACAAATAGTGACAATAAGAAAGACTAATTTGGGGGAAAGTTTTAAAAAGATATGATTAAATACTAGAAAATAACATGGCAGAAGAATGAGAGGAGACTGGGGTTAAAGCATTCTAAGGCCCTTATCATGTTAAGAAGGAAGGATAGAGGTATTAGATATTTTAAGTCAAGAGTTCATATTTAAGCATTACCACTTAAGTGATATAAATGGAATATATAACTTAATGAAGGAATAAAGAAAATTTGATCATTCCAAGAGAAGGAAGGAAAAGAGTGTTTGAGGAGAGAGGGAAGGAAAACAAAACAAACCAAAGCATAGTAAGTGTAAAGGACAAAACAAGAAGACTGAAATAAGTCCAACTATATTAGTAATCACAAGAAATGTAAATGCTTAAATTAGCCAGATAATAGAAATTATTAACATATTTTTATTGTGGTCATAATAGTTTATAACATTGTGAAATTTCAGTTGTACATTATTCTTTGTCAGACACCATATAAATGTGCCTCTTCACCCCTTGTGCCTATGGCCCAAGCCCTTTCCCCCTGGTAACCACTAACCTGTTCTCTTTGTCTGTAAGTTTGTTTATATTCCACAAATGAGCAAAATCATATGGTGTTTGTCTTTCTCTGTCTGGTTTATTTTGCTTAATGTAATACCCTCAAAGTCCATCCATGTGGTTGCAAATGGGATGATTTTGTCTTTTTTATGACTGAGTAGTATTCCATTGTACACATATACCACATCTTCTTTATCCATTCATCAGTCGACGGGCACTTGGGTTGCTTCCACGTCTCGGCTGTTGTGAATAATGCTGCAATGAACACTGGGGTGCATAAGTCTCTTTGTATTGTTGATTTCATGTTCTTTGGATAAATACCCAGAAGTGGGATAGCTGGGTCATATGGTATTTCTATTTTTAATATTTTGGGACATCTCCATACTATTTTCCATAGTGGCTGCACTAGTTTGCATTCCCACCAGCAGCGTATGAGGGTCCCCTTTTCTCCACATCCTCTCCAACATTTTTTATTTTTTGTCTTGGTGATTAATAGCCATTCTAATGGGCATAAGGTGATATCTAAGTGTAGTTTTGATTTGCATTTCCCTGATGATTAGTGATGTTGAGCATCTTTTCATTTGCCTATTGGCCATCTGTATATCTTCTTTGGAAAAATGTCTGTTCATATCCTCTGCCCACTTTTTGATTGAGTTGTTTGTCTTTTTGTAGTTCAATTGTGTGAGTTCTTTATATATTATGAAGAGTAACCTCTTGTTGGATATATGATTTGCAAATATTTTCTCCTACTTGGTGGGTTTTCTCATTTTGATCCTGGTTTCCTTTGCCTTCTAGAAGCTCTTTAGTCCGATGAAGTCCCACTCGTTTATTTTTTCTTTTGTTTCCCTTGTCTGAGAAGACATGGTATTCGAAAAGATCCTTTTAAGGCTGATGTCAAAGAGTGTACTGCCTATATTTTCTTCTAGAAGTTTTATGGGTTCAGGTCTTACCTTCAAGTCTTTGGTCCATTTTGAGTCTATTGTTGTGTATGAAGAAAGATAATGGTCTACTTTCATTCTTTTGCATGTGGCTGTCCAGTTTTCCCATCACCATTTATTGAAGAGGCTTTCCTTTCTCCATTGTATGTTCTTGTCGAAGATTAGCTGTCCATAGATGTGTGGTTTTATTTCTGGGCTTTCAATTCTGTCCCATTGCTCTGTGTGCCTATTTTTGTACCAGTACCATGCTGTTTTGATTGCTATAGTTTTGTAATATGTTTTGAAGTCA